CCCTGGGAGACCCTCATAAGCAAGCAATAAGATAACAAGGTAATAAGGTAATAAGCATGCAAAGGAACAAGCACACATAAGCAAGCAATAAGGTAATAGGGTAATAAGGTAATAAGCATGCAAGGGAATAAGCAGTAAGCAAAGCAATAAGGGAATAGTACAATAAGAGTAATAAGCATTGGAAATAAGCTGACACTAAAAAGATGTCGCATGCCGTGATAAATATACAGTAGTTGTATATGAATAACGTTACTCGCAAATTTTTAAAATTGAAATCAAGTCAAGTTTTTGCGTTTTTCAAATTTTGAGGTCCCGGAGTCACAAATTGTATGTTTAATTAATGCCATTTGGTTGACACCGACAACTTGTTTTGTGTAAAATTTATGTTTCCGGTTACCGTTATTCCAAACAGAGAATTTAATATTGTTATAGCGGTATTTTACCTATATATATTGATTGATTACCGCGGATAACCTACCAACTGCACTGTGAAAACAGATTGGTTAAAATAACCAATTTGAATTGTAAAAAAAAATTAAACTCAATTGTGGTTAAAAGAACCACAAATTGGGTATATTTAACCAATTTTTCTGTTATTTTTTACTACTCTACCATGCATATTTTCATATTTCCACTTCAACCGCTCAAACGCCATGTCACCGAAGTGGCTATATAGCTGCATGTTGTGAAACTGGCATACAAAGCAATATAAACAATTAAAAGAGGTAAATAAATTACGATTATAATCATTGGATATATAGGAATATATACCTTAATGTAGACCTATACGACATCTCCGTTGCACTATAAAGGTGTTAAGCGCACGCATGCGAGCATAATTAGTTCTGCATTTGATCACCATGAACTGTCATTTGTCTCTCATTTCGTCTTCAGCGAAAGTACAGTGACTAGCATCGCAATTGACGTCCTGCTCTAAACATTTAGAGATGTTTTCTCCTTCTCCAAAGAAATCGCTATCTGTCCGAACGGATTGAGACCGACGGACAATAATACACTCAAAGATTGGAGAAAACAGTTATAAATCCGTTGCCAATTTTTATTTTAAGATGAAGTATTTTATTAGATTTCCCGATCACCTTGTATGTATCTCGTAACATTTCAATGTTAACAATGCATAATTAACAATGTGGGCTTGGTTGGAACTTTTAGAAAAATCTTTTCGGCATATTTATAAACGCCACAATGTTTATCTAATTAAGGGTTAGCATCATCTACTAAAAATTGGGACTCGAGCGTTGATCACTTGCGACGAAGTGGTTAGTCGACGTATAGTCATTCGCGACAGCCGTGATAGGGGTTATAATACCCTTTCAAAGCTAACCCTGTAAATGTTTACGCTTTTTCAATGAAATATTTTAACCCTCAAACAATACGTCCACAAGTTATTGCATTACTTAATTGAGATTCGCTGCGTTATATAAGATATCGCTACCGAAATTCTTCATATTATATGACATTGTATTTGCAATGACATTGTATTTGCAATGTTAAATACGGTTGCATTATTACTGAACCGGTATGATTCATAATATAAACTTTATATCTGGAATATAAAACGCCAATTTATGCGTCCAGGTGGTCCTCTGTAAAATTCGATGTTCTGTTAATTAATTCTATAGTAAGGCTTGAATTGCATGGTGCTAGTTGTATATTTTGTATTGCGGATATGGACAAAGTTGACAATAAATCCTCTTTTATGCAGTCAATTTTGGTTTTTCAAGTGTGCAACTTGTTGTAAATGATGCCAGATCGTTGGAGCTTCATATTGTGAAAAACGGGTAGGCAGAATTTAATTTTCTTTTTCGAAAATATCAATATTTGTCGACCAGTATGAAGGGCGCCCATAGGACAAACCTTATGGACAAACCATCATTGTTGATGTATATATAAATATAATTCCACCAATTCCAAATAAGACATTTTGAGCCATCGATCGCCATTGCTTCATGGCAAAATTGTGAATGTATTTGCATATTCTTTTGTAATCTGTGAGTGATTACACAGAATGTATCAGAGAAAGCTAAATATTACTAAAATTTACTATGAAACTGCCCAAGCTGAAAGTGCAGACTCTGCCTCAAACATAATTTTACTAAAGATTTATAGTGAAAACTGCCCAAGCTGAAAGTGCAAACTCTGTCTCAAACGTTTCACTAAAGATTTATAGTGAAAACTACCCAACCTGAAAGTGCAGACTCAGACTGTCTCAAACATTTCACTAAAGATTTACAGTGAAAACTGCCCAAACTGAAAGTGCAGACTGTTTTTTTACAGTATAAACTGCCTACGCCGATAATCGAAACGTTACTTACCAACTTCCATTTCCATAAAGTGGTGCCAGAAACCATAAGTACATGTATTGATTAGACGATACTTCACCAGAGAATCACTCACAGATTCAAAACAAGTATATAAAGCCAATGTCGTAATTCGAAATTTTTAGCTTTAAAATGCGATTCAAAGACAACAACATCGCCAATTAATGTTTTTTTTCTTGTACCCTTTTCCAAAAAAGCTGCGATTTCAAGGCGAACGTACCTCAAAAAGGTATTTTTAATCCAGAAATGCAAAAAAGCCTCGAAAAGTATAGTATTTTCTATAGCATTTCATTGATGAGTGGGAACGACCAATATGGAGCAGCTGGGAAATTTGTTGTCGCTGTGCAGAGAAATTGCTGGCGCACGCGATATTTTACAAAAATTCGAAAATTTGAAAAAACAACACGAGTGAAATTTCAACTGATGATTTTGCATTTTTAAGACGGCGATCATGGAAATTAAATTGTAGGAAAAACTTCACTAACATCTCAAGTATGGAAAGCATCTACATTATCAGCATTTTAATTTTGGATTGATTCAAACTTCCGGCGATAAAGTTACATACTAGGAGTTGGCTTTTGTGCTCTTCGAATGTCCATTTTCATTCGCGGATTACCACAATTTGTTGGTCTCATGCGAGGGGTCCGACACGACCACATGAAGCGTACGAGATTTCGAAATCACGCGATTTCGAACCTGATTTCTTGATTTCTAATCTGATTTCTGTTGATTTCTAAACGGATTTCTGTTGATTTATAATGCGATTTCTTGATTTCTAACGTGATTTCTAACCTGATTTCCTGATTTCTAACCCGATTTCCTGATTTCTGTGAGTTACCGCTGTCATATAAGACCGTGGGCTCAATAATAACGAAGTTTTAGTGATTTCTGATTTCAAAATTGACTAATTTCTCTCGTGATTTCTTGATTTCGGGTTTGATTTCAGTTGATTTCTGAGTCGAGTGTACGAGATTTCAGCCGTGTCGGACCCCTCGGTCTCATGGGTGCCAAAATCGACATAAACGTAAACCGGTAACCAAGAGCTATAAAACAAATAGCTTTTCAAAACGATAAACTTTATTCAGTCAAAAGGATGAGGGTAAATAAACATGCTACTGCGTGATGGTGATTTTGAAGCAACTTTATCACATATATTTTAAAAAGTGGGATAATGAATCAAATTTTGCTTTTTTCAATCCCAAAAAGGTATGAAAATTATTTAAATATTTAAGGTTTCCGTGTTTATAATGCATTTTTTGAGAAAAGTAAACATTTTTCCGATAAAAAGGCATAGTTTCTGCAGAAAACTGTTTTTTGAGGTAGAATATCCTGGGAGAGGGGGTGTAGAAGTGTGGGCGGATAGCAAAAAACTTAGACGATTTCACCAAAAATTTAATACCAAATTTTGTTTTGCCTTAGTTTGATATGTAATTTAAACAAGTTTTTTTACATCTAAAAATTGCCCTCGTGATCAAAACTTGGATTATGTTCGCAGTATTGTCTATTTGTTTACTTCTGGAGATCAAAGTTTGAGGTCCAATTATTTTTAAAGTTTGCAAACTACCCAGCTAATTCTTGGCTGTTGTTTGCAGCCTTGTATGCTGATTACAATTTAGTTTAGTCCACAATAGTAGATCCTTTCAATGAAAGGAAATTAAAAATAGTATATTTGATTACTTTTACAGCACAGTTAGTACATAGGTAGGGTGCAATACCAGGCCAAATTGCAAAAAAATTTACCGAAATCTCCAAATTTAAAATAATATTTTTTTGCTCCCAAGGCACATAGGAAACATAATTTAACAATGAATTTTGTTGAAAAATTGCCCCTTTGCGTCTAATTTCGCTTTGAAATGCGTGCGTTTACTGCTCTTGTATGAGATAAGAGTTCGAAAACATTCGAACTACTGAAAATGTAATGAAATCGACAACTTGACCTTGCCCTTGAAGTCCTTGTACTGCCTCAGCACTGAAATGTTTTTATAACAACGATAATTTACCAAGTTTCTTGGATATTTTCCTTGTTTAACTAGTAGAACCGAACATACAAGTGCATTAGAAGACTAAGCGAGAGTTTTGTGTAGAAATGCTCTGTTTACGGGAAGTTATTCTGCATTCGCAAGCGTCAACAAAAGCCGGCATTTTCACAGTTTGATTATCATGTCGATAGATAAAAGCTTTAAAAATTCAATTGAAAACATTTTAAACCACCCGTATTTCTATAGAATATATGTTAGTGGTATTAACATTGAACGTCTTTCTGTTTGAACCCAAATTCGTACTTGTTTTGCTTTTGACAAGGCAGTCAAGCTTGCGACGATTGGCAGGCATGACTGCAGAATTAATAGCGTGTCAAATGTCTTCTTGTTTGTGTCAAGTTTATAATATTCTACTGCTGTTCAAACACAAACGAGATATTCTATACACTGGTATGGTGGCCCATCATTATCACCGCTATTTTCAGGAATATTTTGCACATTTTATGTTATTTTAATTATTGTTTTCTTTATAAAATTGAAAATAACTTGAATATGTATGACAAATTGGAATTGATTATTATTTCGATTTGAGAAAAAAATTATTTACAAATGTATAATAATATTAATGATAAGTTGTAATTCAAATTATTTATTATTTTAAATTTTAAAAAAAATATTAAAAATGCAACAGTTTAAAGAAATAAATTAAAATTTAATTGATAACGCTGGGCCGTCAGCCCGTTCGATTTTTCGATTTTTTTTTTCGAACGGCCCAGCGTTATCAATTCACTCCGTAAAGACTGGGTTCTAATTTAATTTCCCGCCATTTTGGCCGCCATGTTGTTGTGCTATAGTATGCTAGTATTTGCTATAAATTAAATAGTAAATTTATCGTCAATTCGCTCAACACTGCTGCAGCAGCAGTGCTGCTTGTTTGTTTTTAATAAATACTTGTACAGTATTTATGGCTGGAAATATCGACTGGAAGGGTAATGCTGAGCTTCAGCACGACTTGAAGAGTTATGTTCGTCAAAATTTACGACGATCTGAAGTACTTGATTTTGTACGACGTGATTATTCGCAGTATTCATGGAGTCTTGCTACTCTTGATAGACGTCTTCGTTACTTTGATATTCACTATATTGATTATGATACTCCACTTGCTGTGGTAGCAGATGCTGTACAAAAAAAATTGGATGGGCCTGGACGACTTTTGGGCTATAGAGCCATGAACCAAAAACTGCGAACAGAACACAAAGTACAAGTGCCAAGACATCTAGTCCATAATATGATGGCAAACTTAGACCCAGCAGGTCTAGAGGCAAGAAACCTTCAAAAGAAAAGGAAAAAGCCAAAAGGACACTTTACTTCGGCAGGTCCATTGTGGGTAGTGTCGTTAGATGGACATGACAAGCTATGCGGTTACCAAAACTGGACATTTCCTCTTGGCATATATGGATGTATTGATACTTTTTCTCGAAAGATTTTGTTTTTATTTGTGTGCACTTCGAACTCAAATCCTTTTGTAGTGGGTAAGATGTACCTTCGACATCTGTTCGAAACAAAGGCCCTTCCTAGGTATCTGAGAATTGACAGAGGAACTGAAACTGGTAAGATGGCTACTATTCACACATATCTCATAAACAAATCTGGAATTATGAATGACCCTACAGATTCTGTGATATATGGTCCATCAACAAGCAATAAGATAGAGCGGTGGTGGCGGGATTTGCATGAAAGGTTAGAGAAGTTCTTTAAACAACAGTTAACAGTCCTACTACAAAGACGACAATACAATCCATTCTTCTCACATGATCGCCAATTGCTTGCCTATGTTTATGTGCCTATTGTTCAAAGGGAATGTACTAATTTTGTTAATTACTGGAATTCACATAGAATACGTGCCCAAGATAAGTTGGAAATTCCTACTGGCATACCTAACCACATGTTTGCTTTCCCTGAGAATTATGGAGCCACTAATGAAAGCATTGATTTGTCAGATGACGACATTCAGGATGTTGCTGAAGGTTCTGGTGTGATGGATGAAGAACACATAGTTAATTTCATTGATCCAGATACAAAGCAACAATGTGTGGGACTGATCCCAAATCCTGAGAAAATTGAAGCTAAGAATGCAATTGAAGCTTATCGATTTCTTAAGCAAAACATTCCTGATCCTCCAGGAACATGAAGTTACTATTAAGACATTTTCAGGGGTTACATATACATGTAGTATAAACCAATACTTATATCTTTGAGTGATGTGCATAAAATGTACATACACTGTACATACACACAGTTGCAAATTATTTCAATTTATTTACTGTGCAGAGGCTAGTTTTAGTCTTATTGAAATCAAACTAGGCATTGTTCTCATTTCACACTTTGTGTTATTGATACTGTGATACACAGTGCAGGAAAATTAGTTACATGTTTTCAGTAAGTTGGTAATGCTACTAATTCAGCAACTGGTCTTGCTATGCATTATGAAACCTAGTTTGGAAATGTATTGCCTCCAGACAATCTTAGTGCATGCTTACTCAAGTAGCAAAATATCACTAGTTTCCATGGGTAGCTTCACAAACAGACCTTAGAAGTGCTTGTCACGCCAGTGCCAAACAATGAATTGCAATATGTAATGTGGGACACATGTAAGAAAATAAACCTGTTTGTATTGGTTCAAAAATGTGTGATATAAGCACTTCTAAGGTGTATTATGCCCTCATGCAACCCACCTCATTGGTGCTTCCAATAATAAAAGTAAAGGAAGGTAAAACATGCTAATGGTAAAATATGCTCACTTCAAAAGGGGAAGCTACCTTATAGTTATTTGGCAGTGGTAATAATAAGAATAATACTCATGAAACTGGGTGTCTTGTTGCATGTTCTACTTTCCTCAGGTTAAGTTATCATACACTTTGGCAAAACAAATTTCAGATGTTCCTTCCAGTTTCTAGAGGACCCCCTTAATTTATACTCTGTTCATGATCAGAATTTTATAGTACGTGAATATTTTTCAAGTTTTAAGTAAGAAGTATATATGTCCTGATGATCCTACTTTAATATCATTTTACTCAGTCTAACACCAGAGATTTTACTTGTCATGGGGAGAGCATTGCCACTCAATGGATTAACTTTATAAATTCCAAATTATCAGAGTTTAAAATTAGCAGTATCCAGATGATAACAATTTTGAATTTTGGATACCAAATGTTGAAATCTTGGTATCCTATTTGGACACCCAAAAGGTTCACAGCAAAGAAAAATGCAAACTAGTTGTTTTGACATTAACATTTTGGTTAACCCATTGAGCCGCAATACGCCCCAGTGTGCCCTTCTTATTTTTTTACTTGTCTAACGCCAGACGTTTTACTCATCAACGGGGAGGCTCCGAAGCTTATTGAATTAACTTTAAATTCTGACATAGGTAATGGGAAAACCAGTCTTACATTTAGTGAAGTTTTCATTTCATGGCAACCAAATAATATAAAAAACTGAAATCAAGTTTTATTTTCATATTTAAACAACAA